GTAATTTGACCATTGTAGGTCTTTAATCATTTTTACCTTACTTGTTCAGTCATTTGACCATTACAGTTTTTTAATCGTTTTTATTTAACCTGTTCGATCAGTCAACCATTGTGGTTTTTTAACCATTTTTACATTGTTCAGTCATTCAATCGTTGCAGTCCTTTAATCGTTCTTACTTTATATACTTGGTTATTCGACCGTTGTGGTTATTTAACCATTCTTACTTTACTTGTTTGGTCATTCAATCGTTGCGGCTCTTTAGCCATTTTTATTTTACATGTTCGGTTATTTGATCGTTGCGATTCTTTAACCATTACGATTCCTTAACTGCTTTTACTTTAGATGGTTGGTCATTCAATCGTTGCAATTCTTTAACCGCTTTTATCTTACTTGTTTGGTCATTCGCCATTACAGTTCTTTAACCGTTTTTATTTTACATGTTCAGTCACTCGACCGTTACAATTCTTTGATCATTTTTACTTTACTTATTTGGTCATTCGACCCTTGCGGTTCTTTAACCATTTTTTATTCACCTGCTCAGTCATTCGACGATTGCGATTCTCTAACCGTTTTTATTTCACTTGTTAGGTCATTTGACCATTGTGGTTCTTTAACCATTTTTACTTCACTTGTTCGTCATTCAATCGTTGCGGTTCTTTAATTATTCTTACTTCACTTGTTTGGTCATTCAACCATTGTGATTATTTAACCATTTCTTACTTCACTTGTTCAACCATTCGACCATTGCGATTATTTAACTGTTTTTACCCAACTTGTTCGATCATTCAACCGTTGTGGTTCTTTTAATCGCTTTTATTTCACCTATTCGGTCATTCGACCATTGTAGTTCTTTAATCGCTTTTATTTCACCTATTCGGTCATTCGATCATTGTAGTTCTTTAACCGTTTTACTTTACAAGTTCGGTTATTCAACCATTGCAATTCTTTAACCATTTTTATCTTACTTATTCAGTCATTTGACCATTGCGGTTCTTTACCCGTTTTTACTTTATATGGTTTGTCATTCGACCATTGCAGTTAGTTAATCATTTTTACTTTACTTGTTCGGTTATTTGATAATTATGGTTTGTTAACTATTTTTACTATATATGTTCGGTCATTCGACTATTGTGGTTTTTTAACCGTTTTTATTTCACCTATTTGGTCATTTGACTGTTGTGGTTCTTTTAACCGTTTTCACTTTACCTGTCCGATCATTTGATTGTTGCGGTTCTTTAACCATTTTTACTTTACTTGTTCAGCCATTTGACCATTGCGGTTATTTAATCATATTTATTTCACTTGTTTGATCATTAGACCACTTTTACTTTACCTATTTGATCACTCAACTATTAAAAATTTGATTTATTCTTGTCTTTTTTTTTTTTACTCTTAACAGAAAAAAAGGGAGCAACTATCATAATTCAAATTTTTATAAAAAAGAAAATATCTTTTAATTATACAATGAATAAATTAAGTTTTATGTTAAAAATTGTTTTAATTAGCCTTATTCTTTATGTTTTTGGACTCAACTTTTCATTTAATTTTATTTAGATTTTTCATGAAAAAGAAATATATATAAATCACAAAATTAGTTAAAAATCATAAAATTTTATAAAATGTCAAAACAAACACAAAAATATAAAAATGTGAATTTTTCTCTTTTCTTTAACTAACATATATTCCATGTTGTTTCAGGTGCTACATACAAAGAGAAAATTTTGTGAAGAAATTTGAAAAAAAAAAAAACTCAAGAAAAGGACTCAATCGAAGAAATTAAAAAGCTAAGGATGAAATCTACCAAGACAGACCCATGAATCCAGCCCAAACCCCAATATTGAGCCCAAAAGCAATTTAATTCAAGTCTCAACCCAATTTCATAAGCTAGCCCAATAAAATCCAAACAAAACAATAAAAAACACTAATTTTCCTTTCTCTTGAAAAGGGGGAGGAACGAACAACTAACAAAAAAGAAAGGTAGACCAAAGGAAAAGTAAAAAAAGAAGATTTCTCTCCTTCTTTCACGATTCTTCTCCTGAACCCTAGTTACACAAACAGATCTTGGATTGGAGAAGGAGGATTCAATAGCCAATAAAAAGGGAGAAATCCCTAAAGATCTTCTACAGCTAGTTAGCCTCTCCCAAGCATCTGTGATTCCAATCTCATCACCATCTTATTCGATCTTCACTCTCATCACCTCTTTACCTAGGACATTAGAAGAGGCATTGTAAAAAACTTTACTCGTTGAAAAAACTCTTAGGACATTCACTCAACGTAAGTCAGGCATACGTCTAGTACTCTAACCATTAGTATGTCTGCCTGCTTAACGAAATCTGTTCCTTTAATTGGAACCAATAACAATTCATCAAGGCCTAGTAATTCTAGTGCTCCTAGTATGTCTAGTGGATTTAGTACTTCATCAATTTAGTGCTTCCATTGTAAGGGTTAGGGTCACATTGCTTCTCATTGTCCACATCAAACTTTGACCTGTTGGGCATGACACATCATTAGTTGAAGGAAAACCCTTTTTAGATGACCAAATAGTAAAACTAGTTGAATATTTTAGAGATGAGGATGAGTTTATAAAAGATCCACCTGTTGATGTAGTTAGTTGTGTTGTGCCGACTATTCGGGCTTGAGAGGAACGAAAGAAGACTAGCATCTTTTAAACCTATATTAGGTGTAATGAGAGATCTTGTCAACTAGTCATAGATGAAGGTAGTACTATGAATGTTGTGTCCAGAATTGCTATACATAGGTTGAGTCTTATACCCAAACCACATCCTACTCCTTTTAGGGTGCATAGGTTGATAAGACCAACTTACTAGTTATTAAGAGATCTTTAGTTCCTATGAGGATAGGTGGTTCTAGGGACTCCATTTATTGTGATGTGTTACCCATAGATGTTGTTGATATTCTTTTAGGACGTCCCTGGTTACATGACTTAGATGTAATTAATCATGGTAAAGCTAACATCTTTGAGTTCTTACATAAGGGTAGAAAGATCATCCTTAACCCTGCCAAACCTACTATGGTTGTTGGATCCATCCATGTCATTAAACCATTATCTAAATCCTCATCACAAGATCCACCTAAGTAGTCCATCCATATTTTAAGTCATAAAGCTTTTGGAAGGAAAAGTTTACAGAGTTTGTGCTTGTTTGCATTGGTAATTAAGGATAACTCTAGTATACCTACTGTGCTTAAGCCGTCTCAACCTATAAAGATTGAATCTTTTTTACATAAATGTAGTGATGTGGTACCAGATCAACTTCCTAACCAATTGCCACCTTTAAAAGACATATAGCATGCCAATGATCTAGTTCCAAGGTCTTAGTTGCCAAACCCACAACATTATAGGATGAACCTTAACGAACGAGAAGAGCTGAATAGGCAACTTGAAGAGTTGCTTGCAAAAGGGTTTGTTAAGCATAGTCTTAGCCCTTGTGTTGTGCTTGCCTTGTTAACACCAAAAAAGGATGGGTCTTAGTAGATGTGTGTTGATAGTCATGTTATTAACAAAATTACTATCAAATATAAGTTTTGCATGAGGATATGTTAGACACATTCACTGGTTCTAGTTGGTTTTCCAAAATGGACCTACGTAGTGGCTACCACTAAATTCGTATTAGACTCAAGGATGAGTAGAAAACTGCCTTTAAGACTTAGGATGGTTTGTTTGAATGGCTTGTCATGTCGTTGGTCTCGTTAATGCTTTTAATACTTTTATGAGGACTATGACCCATGTGTTGCAACCCTTTCTAAGGAAGTTCTTAGTGGTCTATTTTGACGACATTTTAGTTTCTAACAAGTCTAAGGAGGAGCACCTAGACCATTTATGACAATTATTTTTGGCACTAGGGACCGCAAAGCTTTATGTTAGCCTTAAGAAATGCACTTTCCTCCAATTCAGTGCAAAGTTATCAAATCCGTTTCGTACCATATTTTCAATAGAGCTTAAATGATATGGGTTCAAAATCCATTTCAATCAAATTTCGATCTTTTCGGTCAAATTCCAATGTACCAGCTGGTACACCGAAATCAATCCGGCACAACTCAAATCTTTTAAAAAAAAAAAAAAAGGCAGAAAGGCAAATCAACCCTGTACTTAGTGAATGGTGGCAAATCAGCCCCCTCAACTAAGAATAGACACAAATCAACCCCTCAACTTATTATATGGTTGCAAATCAATCATATAATAAGGTACTTTTGGTGGGGTCGATTGCTTATATGACAATAGAAGGCGGTATCTTACATCAATGCTAAGTTGGTATTAAATTCGAAATTTATATTAAGACTTTTTTTGTTATAAAGTGTGTTTATTAATTATCAATTAATATAAAAAATTACAAAAATAAATTTTATTTTTAATATCAATATTACGTAAAGTATTTTAATTAGATAGTTGATAGAATTAAAATAAAATTTTTTATATAATAATTACAATATATGTCTTAAATGACATTACTTAAATTTATCAAATTTACAAAAATTACTTTTAAAAAATAAAACTTATCACTATCTAAAATAGCCAAAATAATAATTACTACAACATAAAAAATACTATTATACTAATAGTTAATGCCTTACATTCACATGAGTTCTTTTTCTCAGTTTTTTTTGCCTAAAATCGATCTAAAGAGAAGAAATTACCACATACTTATAAAAAATTAAAGTAAATTTATAATCACTATCTACCTTAATTGTTTGCTCTTTTTGTTTGATTTTAGTAGGTTTAATTTTTTTATCTAATAAAATAAAAATATAATAATTAATTGATAAGATTTAATATTTATTTTTAATTAATAATTACTTTAATAAATTTTGTCACACCCCAGAACCTAAATCCGAGGATGTGGCAGACGTCGTGCACTCGTGAGACGGGTCCCACAAATATACAAGGCTCGAAACTTATCATATCACAATCTGATACCATCAAATCTGAAGATCAAATCTTTAAAATTTACTCTGATATCATAAAATCTCCAAATACACTCTGGTTTACAGATCATAATTTATTTCTAAAACCTATATCAATCTCGAAATGGCTAGCCTTCTAACTCGTCACTTCCTGTGGTTTCCCCATCCTCGGTTTCACTTCCTGAAATGGTGGACAAGGAAAAACTATGAGATAATTCAGTAAGTAAAACATGGAGTGCCCTTTATTAAACTTATAGCATGCCAACAAGTGCAATCATGAAAAACGGATACAGTACAGGAACAAAATAAACATCTCCTCTATAGGTCATGGCTAGTGTTTAAACCTCCCACTGGCAGGCTACAGGAATTACTAGTGTTTAACCCCCACTAGCAGGATTACAGAAGCAAACCGGTTCTATCAATAACATATCGACATGTGCCGACATGTGCTAGTGTTTAACCCCCACTAGCAGGATTATAGAAACATGACCACATCGGAGACAAAACAAGCTGAAGTTAACAGAAAAACATAATTCACCAATCACTTTCAGATCATCAGGACAATCAATTAAATCTCAAATAGGCATGCTCAATTTAATGAAAAGCATAAAAATTTCATTTCAATTGATCATACTTGTGTAAAACGGGTTTAGTCCCGCCACCACTTCAAAAACAAATCAAAACATGCTTTTAAAAATTGTACAGGCATTACCATAAATTTACTTACCTCACTCGCATAAAACCGAAAACTCGATCTCAGTGCTAACTGATAGAACGATCGGGAACCTAATCAAAATATCTAAGAATTAATTCTATACTATCACAAATTCAAACTGAAACCATCATTAGGATCACCCATAATCACAATGCTATTTCTATCAATCTCCACATGATCATATATCTCCAAATTCGTTCTTATATCACAAACTAATCATTTAAATCCCCGTTAATTGTTGGCCCTCGGTGTGTGAACAGTAAACTGTGAACAGTGCCGTGAACAGTAACTGCACTTCCAAAATTGGCCAAAACACTAGCTAATTTACGAGATTTTCTCCAAAAATCACAACAGTCAATTAACACTCAATCACCTAAATTTCACTTGAATTAATGCTTAAACTTTATTCTAAAGCTACCAGAATTCCCCCATTTTTCTAGCACAATTCGGACACACAATAGGGCAACAATTAAAAGCAAATAAATGGACAAATTCGAGGGCTTGGAGGGCTGCCACATACCAGAATTCTCCAGCTAAAACCGGAGCTGTAGGGAGAAGAAGAAGCCGGCGGCAAGTTGCAGGGGAATTCACGGACTAGCCAAAAATTGGAGAACCAAAGTTAACCCAAGCTAAATCAAGCTAAAAGATGAAGTTCATGGCTGTGGCTTACTGGAAAAATGCCCAGAAATCACACACCCACATGGCAGCCGGCGGACAGGGGAGGAAAAGTAGAGTAGATCTAGATGCTACAGAGAGGGGGGGAAGGATTTCTGGGTTCTTTATGTGTTCTAGAACAAGAAAAGAATGGGAAAATACCAAGCTTCTTACCGGTTTCTCAAGGCTGGTGCCGGCGGCTTGGTTCTTTTCTTTTTGTTCGGCTGCAGGGGGGGTCAAGAAGAGCAGAACATGCAGGCTGGAAGAAAAGAAAGAAGAGAAAAAGAAAAAGAAAGAAACTGATCCTTATCCAAATCTCTTCCACTTTTAAGTCCCTCAAGTTTCAGAACTTTCACTATTAGGCCCCAAAATAATTATTTCACACATAAACCCTTACTTAAATGATAAAAATTCCCGAAAATTAGGGATATTACATTCACCCCTCCTAAAAAGGAGTTTTGTCCCCAAGACTTGAATCTAGGGTTGTCTCAAGTGGTGAATGGCTTCACACAAGCCAAGGCAAAACAAATGCGTCACTTACTCTTTATGAACAGAATATGGTCTATTACGCTTCCGCTGCGCCACTCTGATAACAAATCACAACTAATCTTAAAAAGCAGAACGTTAACTATTTAACAAGGTTTACCATGAGATAAGCTACTAGAGGCTGGGGTGATATAGGAAACATAAGGAATAAAAAATAAATCCTACCAAAGCCACAAAAGAACAGTTGTGGGGTTATGCTTTGAACCCAACACAAGACGAGTTGGCAAAGAATGGCATGGATTTAAAGATGAGTACAACTTTGAACTCTATCAAAGACGGATAAGCATCCAATGGATATATGGATCATGAATGAATGAACAAGTGCATGGATGCCTTATAAATTCTGCCACAAAACAAGGTTAACCAATAAGCAAGGTCATGTTTAACAAAGCAACTGGAATCAAGAGGCAGATTTTAGCAATTAACAAGAGTTAAAAGCTAGACCCATCAAATGACAGGTGAAATTTCCAAAATAGCATCAGAATGAAATCAATGGAAAACATGAATGCTTGGAAGAATGTTGGAACATAAGAGTGCAAGGTAGAATGCCTCAAAAAAAATCAGCAACAAAACAGCATTCACCAAGAATCAAGATCAAATTTAACCAAGCAATCAAGATCAAATTTAACCAAGCAATCAAAATTGAGAGACGAGTTAACCATGAAACAAGCAATAGAATTCAAGAATTAGACTCACAACAAATATTTCAATAATGACAATGAGAACAAGGATTCAAGAGCAGATATAATCAGGATGTCAAGATCTAGCACCTCAAGTACTAGAATTAATTAACAAAACAAAGCAACGGTTGGGATCAAGATGCTTAGAAGATTACTGTCTTTTTTAATTAAAAGGGCAAACAAAAATCCAAGCAACCAGAAAAGAACCATTTCTCTTGGAACAAAACTCTAGGGAATCAGGCACTTCAAAATTTACCCCTTCACCTCGTAGCCCATGGAGGCTAAGCAAATTTACAATCAAGTCATTCTAGACATCCTAGAGTCAAGTCAAAGCTAAGGCATCCAGGATACAGAGATTAACACTTGCAAGAGACAAAAGTTAGGATGCCTTATATAGGTATCTTCTAATAATCATCACCCCTCCTAATGAGGTATCCATGTGAACAAAAATCCAAAATCCAGAAGATCTACAGGTATATTGAAACAAGAACGAGCAGAATATGCAAGATTTGAGCAAGAGCAATATACAAAATTTGAACAAGAGTAGTATACAGAATTTGAGCAAAAGCAAGTGTCAAAACAAGAATGGTTTTCAAGGACAGTTCAAAATAGATTCCAAAAACCAAATATCAATTGATTTTTAAGAAAAGGATGCTAAAATGACTTTACTCCAGGCAAGGTTCAAGATAATGAGGATTTCAACAATCATTATCCATTTCCTTTGGATTTCAATTCCAAGAACAAGTACAAAGCAATATCAAGAAAGATTCAAGACGGATTTTGGGAGTTTCAAGCAGTTTCCAAGTATCAAGAATGTAGAGATTGGCAACAATAGAGAGTTTAACTTTATGACAACTTGCCAATCTTCACAAAAATACGACAATTTCAATTGAATTGATCACTGTTTTTGATTAACCAATATAGAAAAATGAGGCACATGAAAAGACCATGAAGCTCCAAATGGAAAAAGTGAAACTTCACTATAAGACTTTCAAAAAGATAAGGAGCAACGAAATTACCAAGTTATCCAGCTCCTAAAACACATCTAGAAAACACACAACATTTGCTAAAATAGCCTTGAATCTCTTACAAGTAGAGGGTTGCCCATCTTCCACTAGTCATGTGACAAACAAAACAAATTTCTCAACAGCTATGCTGTAGAGACCAACAGGATCAATAACAAAAGATCTCTGCAACTCCCCAGATTTTACAATTGTGGCAAAAGAGCATACAAAAATTCCATTCAAGTAACAAGTCTAAACAAGTGCAGATTATCAGAAAATGACTAAGTTTCAAAACAAGGTCTTAAAGACATAACGGGCAAGATTACTTTCACAAATTTACACAGGGTATGAAGGCAGGAAACAAGAACAATCAGATTACCATTTCATCAAAATGGATTAGAACATTCAGGCAACACGAATCAAAATCGTCCCTCATATAACCCCATCACTCGTCTCACCACGGTTCTAAAATCCATTGGCCAGCCAAGTCCAAAACAAATCCTAGGTATTCAATTAAACCTAGGTATTTAATTAAATCTAAACTCCGATACCACTCAATCTGCTCTAATGCCACTCAATCTGGAGGTCCTTAATTTAATCCTAAGCTCTTAATTTCAACCTAAGCTCTGATACCACTAAATCTGTCACGCCCCAGAACCTAAATCCGGGGACGTGGCAGATGCCGTGCACTCGTGAGACGGGTCCCACAAATGCACAAGGCTCGAAACTTATCATATCACAATCTGATACCATCAAATCTGAAGATCAAATCTTTAAAATTTACTCTGATATCATAAAATCTCCAAATACACTCTGGTTTACAGATCATAATTTATTTCTAAAACCTATATCAATCTCGAAATGGCTAGCCTTCTAACTCGTCACTTCCCGTGGTTTCCCCATCCTCGATTTCACTTCCTAAAATGGTAGACAAGGAAAAACTATGAGATAACTCAGTAAATAAAATATGGAGTGCCCTTTATTAAACTTATAGCATGCCAACAAGTGCAATCATGAAAAACGGATACAGTACGGGAACGAAATAGACGTCTCCTCTATAGGTCATGGCCAGTGTTTAAACCTCCCACTGGCAGGCTACATGAATTACTAGTGTTTAACCCCCACTAGTAGGATTACAGAAGCGAATCGGTTCTATCAATAACATATCGACATGTGCCGACATGTGCTAGCGTTTAACCCCCACTAGCAGGATTACAGAAACATGACCACATCAGAGACAAAACAAGCTGAAGTTAATAGAAAACATAATTCACCAATCACTTTCAGATCATTTCATATCATTTGTTATAATTCAAATTTTTACTAGAATTTCATTTTAGTTTTTATCTTTATTTTAACTAATGTGTTTTGTTTTGTTTTCATTGTTAGGTTTGTGAGTAAAAAAGGGATTTTGCAAAGAGGATTGGGAGAAGAAGATGGAAGAAAGGACTCAATCAAAGAAATGGAAAATTGAAGGGGTGAAACACTTTAAAGTTAAAGCCTCAAACCCAAAACCCAAAAACCCAAAAACCCACAATTACCCAAACCCAAAACCCATAATTAAAAGATAAAAGTCAAACCTTTTTCCTCATCCACCCTTCCGGCCTCCCTCTCTCTCTCGAACCCTCCTTCTCTTCAAATAAGCTGGCGGCCACCCCTCAAACTGCTGGCGATAGAGCTTCTTCGTACCCCAAAACCTCTTCCTCCTTCCTCACTGACCCTTGGCTTCTCTCTCCTCCTTAGATTTCCTTTTCTTGCTCACGCCAGTCATCAGCCTCCCCATTCTCGCTACATGGCTTTTTCTTCTTCAACCTGCTGGCAACTATATTCCCTTCTCCGATCACCATCGTCACCATCAAAGCCTTTCATCTCACCATTCCTTTTCTTTCTCACTTTTTGTGCTCTGTGAAGACTCTTCGTTGTCGCAAATACGCCAGCCACTTCCTTGATTTCAACTTCCATTTTGTTCTAGATTTATGGTCACCTAAAGGAATCAAGGGCGAGTGAATCTCAAAACCAACAAAGATGCGCCCAGATCTGTAGATTGATGATGGAGGTGATGTTTTACGTGCGATGGCGGCGACTATCGGAGAACAGCAACTCAACAGTTTGTACTTGAACTGGCTGGAGAATTCATGTGCAATCAAAATGTCAATCCACGTGCTTGAAAAGAGATGAGGCCTCCTCTTGCTATCGGCCCAAAGATCCTCACCATCGGGCCTTCCACAGCAAATGAGAAATTGGATTGGGTAAGGTTTGGGTCCATTTTTGTCATAGAGTTAGGCTTGGTTTTGGATAGAAGAATAAGGTGTTTCTGAGCAGTATAAATAGATCTTTAAACGAGAGTTTTGGGGGGTTCTTTTGCTTGGGTTTGGTGTTGACTGTGGCAGAAAAAAGAGAGGAGCATTCTGTTAGAGGCGTCAGCGGGTCGTCGGTTAGAAGGAATTTCCCCCTTCTTAGGTAATTTTTTAGAACCGAGAGTGAGGAGAACTGCCAAAGAGAACAATGAGACTAACAGCACGGCAAGGAAATTTTAAACTCCAAGAAAGTTAAATCAGGTTTATAATAGGATCTTAACTTGTTGTTTATGTTGCAAGAACCAAAGGTAAAAATCTTGACCTATTGTCTATGACGCAACAAGAACCAGAGATATGAAGAATGAGAATGATAAGTTTAGGTTAGAATGCCTCAAAAATAATCTTGATAAGTTTTGTAAAGTTTTGAAACAAACCAAAGAGAAAAGTCTTTCAAAATTCAGATTCAATAGCCTCCTCTCAATTAGGGTTACAAGCCCCTTTAAATAGGGAAAAGTAATTCTAATCAAAATAGGAAATTAACACTCTAAGCCTTAATCATAATAACCACAAATTGGGTCTTAAATAAATGAATGTTCAACCCAAAATAATATAAAAAATATAAAAATCACTAAAAGTAATTTAAAATAACATGAAATATTAGTTTGTTACAAATTACAACAGAATTGCGAGATTGACGCAAACTGTGTAATTTAGCATGAATGACCTCAATTAAGCTTCTCTTGAACATGAATGATGTTTATCATGCTTTGATAATCATTCAAACTTCGATTTACTTCTTGCATGTTGTTATCAACCCAGATCTGCTCAATAAGGCCATTTAAAGCTTCTCGCATCTTTCTAGCTTTAACTCGCGTGACTGGACCTCCTTGGGTGTGTAATGGATCACATGACGTAATAGATATGTTGTTGTCTTGATTCCCATCATTCCCTCTCTCCTCAAAAGGATTTGTCCTCAAAAGGATTTGTCCTCAAATCGTCACCTACATCAAAAGGAGAAAGATCAGAAACATTAAAAGTAGCACTAACATTATACTCATCAGGAAGCTTCAACTTGTATGCGTTGTCATTAATCCTCGCAATCACTTGAAATGGTCCATCGCCTCTTGGTTATAGCTTAGAATGCCTTTGTGCAAGGAATTGCTCCTTGCGCATATGCACCCAAACCCAATCTCCAGGTTCAAATACAACTTTCTTGCGTCCTTTGTTGGCTTGTTTTGCATACTGCTCAGTTCGTTGCTCTATGTTTTGTCGCACCCTCTCATGCAGTTGCTTAACCGCTTCAGCTTTCTTCTTCCCATCCAAACTAGCTTGTTCATCAATAGGTAAAGGCAATAAATCTAAAGGAGTAAGTGGATTAAAACCATACAAAACTGCAAATGGTGAACAGTTAGTTGCTGAATGGACGCTCCGATTATAAGCAAATTCAATGTGCGGCAAACACTCTTCCCAGTTTTTCAAGTTCTTCTGAATAATAGAATGCAATAAGGTTAACAATGTCCTAGTAACCACTTCTGTTTGTCCATCAGTTTGTGGATGACAAGTAGTCGAAAACAGTAGGTTAGTTCCCAGTTTTCCCCACAATGTCTTCCAAAAGTAACTCAAGAACTTGACATCGCGATCAGAAACGATGGTCCTTGGAATGCCATGTAAACGAACAACGTCCTTGAAGAATAGATCCGCAATATTGGTTGCATTGTCAGTTTTATGACATGGAATGAAGTGTGCTATCTTCGAGAAGCTGTCAACAACAACAAAAATAGAATTGTGGCCTCTTTTTGACCTTGGTAAGCCCAAAACAAAATCCATAGATACATCAACCCAAGGTTCAGTAGGTATGGATAACGAAGTATACAAACCATGTGGTAAAACTCTAGATTTTGCTTGTTTACATGTTATGCACCTTTCACAGATCCTTTCAACATCACGTTTCATGTGTGGTCAAAAGAAGTGATCATTTAGAATATCTAAAGTTCTCCTAACTCCAAAATGTCCCATTAAGCCTCCCGCATGAGATTCCCTTACTAACAATTCTTTTAAGGAACAGTTAGGCACACATAATCGATTTTCTCTAAACAAGTACCCTTCATGCCTATAAAACTTATCAAAAGCAATCTTCTCACATGCATTAAACACATTAGCAAAATCTGGATCATTAGCATATAATTCTTTAATATGCTCAAAACCTAATAACTTTGCACTTAGGGTAGAGATAAGTGTGTGCCTACGAGTTAGTGCATCAGCCACAATATTTGGCGCGCGCGAAAGCTGCAACCGGCTCTACGGGCAAAAATTTGAAGACCGTTGTTTGGCGCGCACAGAGGAAAAACGCAAAGCCGGCTCCAACTTTGCAGTCGGCTGTGAGGGTGCATTTAATGCACAATGGTCGACTCTTTTGAAGAATATTTAATGTATTTAAAGTTGGAGTTCCAAAGTCGGCTCAAAGTCTTACAACCGGCTCTCGAGGAAAACAGAATGTGCAGGAATCCCGCAAAGCCTGCTGTACAGAGCCGGCTCCCTAACAATCCTGCAACTCGAGCTTTGTGTCCTGCAGAGCATTTAATGACCCCCAACAACTAGAAACGACTATTTTCGAGCAAGGGGCTATAAATATGGTTAGTAACAGATATGAACAAGTTTGGTGAACATTGCATTGAATATCTTTACCTACCTACTTGAGCTTTAACTTGAGTTTTTGATCTTTGAGTGATCATTGCTTGTAATCCTCTTCTTGTGCTTTTAGTGAGTGATCTTGGGGGTGGGTTAATTCCTTCAAGAGTGATCTATTGAGAGGATTTGTGGGGTTTACATTGTAAAGGGGTGAGGTATGAGAGAAATACTCATCTTGTTGTAAAAGGATTGAGTGGCTCCTTTAAGCCACCCTTGTCTTTCTTAGTGAAGAGTGTGGAGGAAATCCTTGGTGAGTGAAGCCAAGGTAGAGGACTAGGCTCCAAGTGGTTGGACCGAACCTCTATAAATTCATTGTGCAAGCTCTTTTTCTCTACTCTAATTTGGGTTTTTTGCATTAAAAAGGGGAGAGTTTTTGGAACTCCAATTCACCCCCCTCTTGGAGTACATTGAGTCAACAATTGGTATCAGAGCAAGGACTCCAATTTGAAGGTTTAACCACCTAGGCGTTGATCGGGAATGTCTCAATTTCTATCTTCTCAACCACTTGAAGGTTTGTCTACCACTAAGCCTCCTTTCTTTGATGGTACTAATTATAATTATTGGAAGAATAGGATGAAGGTCTTCATGCTTGCAAATGTGCCCAAGGCATGGGTTGTGACTATGAAAGGTCCATATGTACCTATGAAAATTGTTGGAGAAAGAGAGGTGCCAAAGGAAAAGATTGATTGGAATGATGAAGACTTGGAGAAGATCATGATCAACAACAAGGCAATTAGTATGCTTCAATGTGCTCTCAATCCAACGGAGTATCATAGAGTCTCCGGGTGTGATATGGCTAAGGAGATGTGGGACAAGCTAAAAGTCACTCATGAAGGAACAAGCCAAGTAAAGGAGTCAAAAATCAATAGACTCATTTACATGTATGAGCTTTTCAAGATGAAACCGGAGGAGAGCATTCAAGATATGTATACAAGATTGAATGATATAGTCACCAATCTCAAGGTTCTTGGTAAAGTCTATCCTCCTCAAGAAGTGGTGAGAAAGGTTCTTAGAAGCTTGCCTAAGAGTTGGGAAGCCAAGAAGACCGCAATTGAAGAATCCAAGGATCTCAACACTCTCAAGCTTGAAGATCTCATTGGAAAATTGATGACATATGAGATAGAGGTTCAAGGTGATGGTGGAATTGAAATAGTTGAGAAGAAGAAGAAGGATGTTGCATTCAAGGTTAGCAACCAAAAGGAAAGAGCGAAGATGATGCTAGTGATGGTGAAAACTTCTCCTCCTTAATCTCTAGAGAAGTGAGGAGATTTATGAAGAAGAACATCAAGAGCAAGATTGCAAGAAGAGATGAAGGAGAATCTACCAAAAAAAGTGTGAAATGCTATGAATGCAACAAGATGGGGCACTATAGAACTGAATGCCCCAAATTGAAGAAAGGTGAGAAGAAAGACAAGAAAAGCATGAAGAAGAAAGCATTTGCTGCCACTTGGAGTGATGATGAGACTAGCTCAACGGAAAGTGAAAGCTCCTTGGAGAAAGGTGTTG